CCTCTCTTCCTTCTCCCTGCTCCTGGCTTATCACAGTTCGGATCCCACATGGGCGAGCCTTTCCCTCCTGAGCCCTCTCCCTCAGCTCTGCAGACGTCCACGTGGCCAGGATCTCGCAGGCCCCGGGCTCTCTTCCCAGGCTGGTTCCGTCGCGGGTGACTGATGCCTTGTAGCGTTATCGCTGCGGAGCGCTGCCTAGCAGGCGGCTGACTCAGGCTGGCCTTGTGTTCCCAGACCTGCAGGGAGGAGACACATGCTCACTTGGCTCAAGCTGGTGCTTGTATTTGATGCTTTCTCCAGAAATGCCAAAAACAGGGGAGGGATGTTTAAAAACAATTCATAAAATCGGCAAATACATTGCCAACGCACAGTGCATCTGTCCTGGGAAGTCTGCAGTTGAGTTGGGTTTTGTGGCAGCACTGGTGGCCGTGAGAGGTCTCAGGGACTGACTGGTCCCCAGAAGCAGCTGTGAAGACCCAAAAAGCCAGTGTCACAGGGTGGGCTCGCAGCAGCCTGGCATTCCCCCGGGAAGCCTCTTGCACCTCCCTCTCTGGTACAGCAACTATGTCAAACCTTCTGCACTCAGCCTGCTGACTTTACAGGAGAGGACGAGGATGTCCCGTAGGAGCCATCCTGCCTCCCGATGCAGAGTATGCCACCCTCCTCCTGCCCGCTGTGAGCCTGTCCCCCCTGTCCCAAGCCCTGGGCTCCACCTCTACCATCTCTTATATCCTCTTGCTCCAGCGCTCAGCCCCTCCCCTTCTTAAATGCACCCAGGTCGACGGCTCCTTTACTCGGTGCCTCACTCCGACTCCTTCTGTTCCAATGGCTCTTGCTTCCCAGCCAAGCCTCGCCAGACAGCCACACTTCCGTTTCACCACCCTCGCACCAGCCTCTCAGCCCCATGGCAGAACCACGTGGCCAGCAGGTGGCATGGCTGGTCTCATGTGACCTCTGAGTAGCTCTCATTGTCCTCCTTGCAGATCTGTTTTCTCGCCGTGGCTTCTGAGACATCGTGCGCTCCTGTTCCTTCCCGCTGTTCTGTGGTGGGTGGGATCTCAATATTTAATTCACCACAAAACTCACGGGTACAAATCCTGGCCTCTAGGATAACAGCAGCAGGAGGAGTGGACTTTGCGAGTGGATTAAGACGTGGGGTGGAGCCTCCTGAGTAAGATTAGTGCCCTTTCCAAAGAGTCCCTCAGAAGTCCCCGGCCACCATGTGAGGTCACGGCAAGAAGGCACTGTCTTGAACCAGGAAGTAGAATTTGCTGGCTGTTTGATCTCAGACTTCCCAGCCTCTAGAGTTGTGAGAAATCACTTTCTGTTGTTTATGAACCATCCAGTCCGGGGCATTTTGTTACAGCAGCTCGAGTGGCCTAGGATGGGGCAGGGATTCATCACACAGCAGGCCTTGTCTTCATGGGGTCAGAGTGAGAGCTCCCAGCCAGGCTTCTCCTCTGAGTCCAGAAAAATGTGTCCCGCCGTTTCCATACTAGCTCCTGCTGGGTGATCCAGAAACACCTGGAAAATTAGCCTAGTTATGGCCTTTCAGCCTTGGTCATCCTCCGGGTGCCTGTAAGACTCGCACCAGCACCTAACTAGAGGCCTCTGGCAGAAATCTCAGTGTCCCTCTGGACATTGTCTCCTCCTTCAGCCATCATGTCCGGTCTACCAGTAAACTCCACTCCTGTTTACCTCTTAAATTTTCCCCAAATCTACCCACTTTCCCCAATCTTACTTCTGCCTTCCTGAGCCAAAATGCCATCTGATCTTGCAAGACAATCACAACACATCATCTCGCGTCCATTCTGATTTCCTCCAAAGTATTCTCACTGCCCCACCAGAGTATTTAACGTACAAGTCGAATCCTTTGCGTAAAATTCTTCCTGTTGTGTTTAGAAGGAGAACAAAATATCTTATCGTGGCCTTAGTGGGGTCTGACACTTCCAGACCCACCAGCCTTGCTCTCTAGCCCTGTCAATCATCTTGGTTCTTTTGACATTACTGTAACCAAAATACCTGAGACTAGATAATTTATAATGAAAAGAAATGTATAGGCTCACAGCTGTGGAGGCGGGAAGTGTAGCTCATGGTGTTGGTGTTCCGACACCTCTCCTCAGGAAGTGGGGGATGTGCGTGCACTGACATACTCAGGTGCACACCAGGCATCAGGAGAGCCTGCCTGCCTGCCCCTCACCCTCTCATAACCCACTTCAGCAATAATGATATTAACCTGTTCATAAGGGCGGAGCTCTCAGGGCCCAGTCACAATGGCACATTTCAGTGCGTGTTTTGGAGGAGGGGACATGCTTTTACACCAAAGCCTATGCCCTTCCCTTGGGCATCTAGGCAAGGACTCCCACTGCTCGGCTTCAGTTGTTCCTGTCACTTCCTTTCAGTGCAGTGTCCTTTTCAGGGAAGCCTGTCCCCCAGCTGTCACTGTGTGTGTGTGTGTGTGTGTGTGTGTGTAGTGTGGTGTTTAACATCTTTCTGGCTGGGGAGAGACTGCCTGTAGGAGTTCTGAGAGATAGTGAGGCCCCAGCTGAGCCAGGCCTTTGAAATGCACACAGACCAACCCCTGCAGAGCCAGGCCTCCTCCCTCTGGCCTGTCCAGCGCTGGCAGCAGTGATCCTCTGCCTGAGTCATCCAGGGCCAAGTACCAGGTGTCCAGGGACTGCACAGATGGCTCAGAGCGGCCAGGATCATTCGATTCGCCAACCCTGACCTGCTCACCAGCCCTGCCTTTCCCCAGAAATTCCAATAAAGGTGGCCTAGGCTCCTTCTCTCCTGGCCCCTCTGCCTCCCAACCAACCTGGTGCTTCCCCCAGGGCTCTGCATGATGTGCCACACCTCCTGTCTCTGGGACCTGAGTGACCGTAACATAAGAACAACAGAACTCCAAGACGGGGCCAGATGTCCTCCCCGGGCCCTCGGAGCCCCTGGACTCCCTCCTCCATCACGTCTCTGGTCCTTGTTTACTGTGGTTATTAGGAAGGCTTTGTTGGTCTGCCCTTCATCTTCACTGGGCTGTGAGCTCCGTGAAGCAGGGACCTGATGATTATTCTCTCACAGGTGCAACCGCAGAGCCACACAGAGGGACACGGGAGGTTTTGGTTGGATGAATGAATGAGTTTGAAGACTGGGGGCCTAGGTTCCAGGTCGGGGGGCCTAGGTTCCAGGTTGGGGCCGTTTTCCGATCAGTACCAGATGGAGATTCTTTTTAAACTCTCCATCTTTCCGAATTCCTGGGAGGAGAGGGAGATAGCTCAACGCTTGCTGTTTGGGATTTTCTTTCCCCTTTTCAGGTTGAGGCTCACAAGTGTTACAGTGGAGAGGACAGATGAGCGCCGTTCTCTTCCCTCTGACGGGAGAGCAGTGTGGGATGGGGAATGTAGAAATGAGGATTTGATTATGTAGATTCTTACTTGAAAAGGTGATGGAGGGAATGAGATTGAAGAAGTAGACATTTAGCAACTTTATAGTCTTTTTATTATGAGAAATGAGTGTTCATGTAAAGTAACTGGAGTAATGAAAGAAGGCAGAAAAGAAATCCAGCCCTCTCCAACCCGCTTCCCACATTCTTAAATATTTATTAACAGCATAATTTTTGTTATTTACTCATTTATTTAATTTGGGCTACTGTAAAAAAAAATTCACTATCATAAAAATGTTACGATGAGCACTCTTTGTATGTAAATTTTTGCCTAATTTATAAAAGTGAGTGGCTGGATGGAAGAGTATGGCCAGGAATATTTTCTAGGAAGACTTTCAATCATTTTTCCCTATTAAGTCTCCTGAAAGTCCTACCAGTAGAGGAGAGGTGCCTGCTTCCCCGAGACCTTTGGAGATTATAAAATACACATGTAAATAGGCATATGTAGATGCCTGTTCGATGGGTAGGAAGGGTTAATTCGTGGTTTTAATTTGCAGTTCCAGTGCCAGTTATTCCCAAACACCAACACATTCCTCTTGGTTCTTGGCCCTTCGTCAGTTACCTGGGGTTCTGTGCCTAGCTTTCTACAGGGCTGTTTCTCTTTTTCCTATTTATTTATAAAACCCTCTTCGTAGTAAACACATTGACTTTGTTTTTGTCCTGTGTATACACATGGCATCCATAGGACCTTTTTCTAATGACCTGACATGCAAGTGGACTTTAAAGACAAGAACATGTGACATGGTGCGGTATGGTTAGCTCTCGCTTTGTTAATAAGGGCAGTTGGTTTCGCTGTATTTTGAAAATTTTGCCAAACTGCAGGGAATATACGTGTGAAAAAGAGTCTGGACTGGAGCTTGGGCAAACTTGACTCCGTCCTAGTTCTGGCACTCTGTTGCTGGAGGACCAGGGACAGATTATGTAGCCTCTGCAAGACTCGGGTTTCTCCCTGGGCAAAAGGAATTCCTCGGCTTGTTTTGAGAGGTAAATAGCGTTAGACGGTGTGCAATGCAGACATGATAGTCTGTAAATATTTTTTCCCTTTCCCAATCCCTCAAAGATGTGCTGTTCTGTGTATGCTCACGCCACCAGGTATTTTTGTCTAAGTAGGAGCAACTGTATTTCATTCATCCCACTTGGAGTCAGAATTGCAGCCCTTCATTGATATTTTCCAAATAGATAAATATGATCAGAGTGCAAATGAAAATAGAAAAATTCTTAGTTAACTCTTGCCCCACCACCACTGCCATGCTGGGGATGGAACCCAGGGCCCCGCGTGTGCTAGGCACACTGTCCACCACTCATGCACCCTTACCGCCTGTTAATGATGCATCTGAGCCTAGGGGAGATTAACTTTCAAGCTCAGGGATAGTGTTAGCAAATTAGGATCCATGCTATACAAGTGGCAAACAACATAAGACAGAACATTCCGGAGGGGAGGGGGACAGACGATTTCAAATCCTTGAAACTATGTGGATTTTAAATAGCTTTAAATATAGTATTGAAATATTTGCACACTTTTATTGAGAAGTTATGTCTCAATCTGTTCTTTTCTCCCCTGTAGGTGTGGCTGGATCTCTTAAAACCTATTGTGAAGCAGATTCGAAGTAAGTATATCCTGCATGTTGAACAGTGGAGATAAATACAAAGCCAGGTGTGTTCATTGTCAAGGAGGCTTTTGTCTGGGGGCGTGAGGTGCTAGTGATACGAATTCTTTTATTTTTTTCCCCTCAATTACTTGTTGTCATCCACTAATCCACATACTATTAAATTGTGTATCTTCTGCAATTTTAATATATAACAGTTGGCAATCAAAACCTTGCTTGGGAAATCAAATAGCATTTTGTAACAACTGAACCTTGCTATTAAGCTGCAGAGTAATGGAGCTTGTCTGTTTCTTACCGTCACTTTCTAAGGGGAAGGTGGAGCTATCTGTTCATATCATTGATTTCCCGGTTTTTGTTCTCCCTCTTCAAAGCCAAAATCCGAGTACAGTGCTGTTTGGGGTGGTGGGGTGCTCAGAGTGGGGATATATGGGTGTGTTGTTTGATAGGCAAACAGCCCCAAAGGTGGGTGTGTAGACTGTGTATTGGAAAGAAAAGATTCGGGAGGGCTGGGCAAAGGACTAGGAGAGGACTCTTTCTCCCTTTTCACTGCCCTGCAGCACTGGACTGTCCTTCTGTCTTTTCTTTGAGGTTAGGCTCTGTTCTCAAAGTCCTCCCTGAAGGCCCCCCCTGCAGCCAGAACCTGGGCAGGTCGGGGATGGTACCGAAGCTGCATGCGCCTTCAGTTGAGCTCACAGTCCCTGTGGGATTATTTTTCTGTTTAAGAAACCCTAGCGGGCCACTCGCAGCAATTTATGTGGATGTAATAAACATGCAACATGATGTCTATGTGGCCCTCATGCCATTGAAATTGATGTTGATCGTCTATCATTTAAATTATTAACGCTGAAAATGAAAGGGCCATCATTTATCTGATGTTTACCGAGTGTCCTCAGGGAGCTGGCCCTGGCTGGCATCTACTAAGTGATGGTGGGGGTGTTGCTAAGGTGCTGTGCAGAGCCTGGAAGCCATGGGACATTCCTCCCCCAGCAGTCACCGAGGGGTACAGTGGTGGTGGGGAGGCGTGTGTCCTGGGGTCTCCAGGTGCACACCCGAAGGCAGCCATCATGGTTGTCAGGTCGGAACCAGAGCAGGGGTGTTAGCTTCTGTCTCCTCTGTGTGCTGTGACTGCCCTGTGTGACAAAGCTGTCACTTCACATTGAGCGCTAGGCTCTTCCTCGCTTCAGGGTTTCCAGAGATCTGAGCAGCCTCGTTTCATTCTGTCTGTGAAAATGACAGGCAGGAAACGGCGCAGCCTCCTTCCTCCGCACTTTGCACCGTCACTCTGTGCCCCTGGCCGAGGTGCAAGGTTCCTGCTTATTGTTAGAGTCACTTGGGAAAGAAATCCAGCCTCTCTTGGCCTCAGCATTTCCCTGTCTTGTCTTTTTCTCCATTTTGTGTATATGGCCAAACGACTGTACCCCTTATACCCTATTTTAAAAAAAAAACAACAAAAAACCTGAGTCTGAGTATCATTTGTCTTCAGAGAAAAAGTTTAATAGTTGAATGTAATACTTTTTTCATAGTTTTTTAAAAAACCTTTATTTTATTTATTTATTTTTTAATGTGGTGCTGAGGATGGAGCCCAGTGCCTCACACGGGCTAGGCAAGTGCTCTGCCACGGAGCCCCAGTGCCAGCTTTTTAAAAACTCAGACATCTGTCTCTCCACAATATGAAAGAGTGAAACTAGCAGCCAAACTTGACCATTGCTGGGTGGCTTGGAGGGCGCATTCTGGGAGCTTGGAGTGAAGTGCAGAATTTGGTGTATAATATGCCTAAGAGTCATTTTTTCAGTTTCGTATATAACACATGTCAAGTTTTGTACTGATGTTCTTCTTCTTCTTCTTCAGGGCCAAAACATGTTGTTGTTAAGTTTGTGGTGAAATTCTTTCCACCTGACCACACACAACTCCAGGAGGAACTCACCAGGTCAGTGGCTTGGCAACTGGTACTTTTTTGCTCTAGTGTCCAGAGGAAAAGAGAACATTAAGACTAAATTGATTAAACATTTGGTAATGTTTACTTGACTAGCATCTGTTCTGTGCTCAACAGTCTAATCCCTCTCTGCCTAGAAAAATGTGGTAAAAAGAACACCATGTTTCCCTACAGCCTGGTGTCCTTAAGACCGCGATGGGGAAGTCACCGGGCTTCTAACCTGTTCATGTCCTGTTTTCCTTCTTGTATCTACCTCATCCTGAGACCGTTTTAGGAAATGAGGTTTAGAAAACCAACATGTTAACTCAGCTTATTGCTGCCGTGGATGGGTGAATTGGACTTGAACTTTAGGTCAGTGTCTTTTGAAAGTGGGAACAAGTGGAAGAATTAGGAATCGGGTCAGGCCTGGCTTTAGCCCTCTGTCCTGCCACTTGCTTGTGTCTTCTGTGCCACCATTAATTCACTGCTCCTAATGCCGATGGCAGTGCTTGCTTGGCTAGAGCTGTTTTGAGGATAAACACTATTTCTGTGTAGAGTGGCTGGGATCCAGGGGAGACGCCATCCACAGTCACTGTCACCACCACCATCAGCCTTACCATCATCATCTCTGTCACCATCGTCCCACTGCTCCTCATTCTATCATGTGAGACAAGGCAGGTGCACTAGTCCCACCAGCACCTTTCTAGCTATGGCTTATGAAGACCAAGGCAAAAAACTAAAAAAAACCCACCACGGCCATCACCTCTTCCTCTTCCCCTCGGCACAAGGTCTTGGGTAGCTGACCTGTATTTATCAAGGGGTAAAGCCGCTTGTTCAGTTACCAGCATTTATTGACACAACTGCGTGCAAGCATTGTTCCAGACCCTGGAAACACGGTGTTGAAAAGATGAGTCTTGACCCTGTGGAAACAGAGAACGAGTAATTAAACAAAAATAATGTCAGATCATGACCAGAGCTCTTTAACTAAGTGAAGTAGGCTGATGAGATAGAAAGGGCCTAGGCGACCATGTTAGGTTGCTGCGGCTGGGATGACTCTTGAGGATGTGATAAGTATCTGTCAGTCATTTTCTGGGGTGAAGAAGGAGCAAGCAATCAAAGCCCAAGGCACACACAAGCCCCAATCCTTTATGCTTAAAAGAGGGCCAGCGGTGGGCATGCTGACCACCGGTCCAGACCATGATGGCGGCAGGGAAGAAGAGGGCAGGGTGGCGATGGAGAAGAGCGGTGTGTTTAGATTATACAGTGGAAGTGGGACCGTCTGTCTTGGTGATGGTTGGAGGTGGAGTCTGAGACAACAGAGGGAGACACTTAGGTTTTTGACTTGGGCGACGGGGTGGTAATAACTCAGATGCGAGAGGGGTGGAGGGGACAGCGGATGGGGAAGGCAGAAGTTGGGGACTGGTTCCCACCAGCTGGGTTGAGATGCCTATTAGTCATCACATGCCTGCTTCAGGAAGCCACCAGATGCATGATGGCAGAGTTCCAGGGACAGGGGCAGACGAATGAGTCGCCACTGTCTACGCCACTCCCGACCCTCGGACCAGTGAAGAGGGTCACTGCAGCAGGAATTGGCAGAAGCCATCAGCCTCTGGGGACCACACAATTAATAGACTTTAGTGTAGAGGAGGGTTGACCAGAGTCACAAAACCAAATTGCAAGAACTGGGGTGACAACAGAGAGCCGAGGTGCCCATGCAGGTTCTTCACTGGGCTACTGTGCCACTGTCCCTGGAGCTGGCTTTCTTGCTGTGGGTGTGTGCCTTGCTCGGAGCTCAGCGCACTGAAATCAGCCTCAGGACAAGTCCAGCCTGTTGGTCAGCAATGGGCTTTTTCCTCCTATAAGTCACTGGTCCTCTTTCCTATTTAGAAAATTGGAAACACAAACTTTTTCTTTCCCAAATAATTTGCACCTCTTTAATTTTTGTGAATATTGCCTCTAGAGCTTTGCAGTTTTCTGCCCCCGTGGTTCTTGTTCCAAAACTCCGTACAACTAGTTACCAGTAAGCCAGACGTGCCTAGTATTTTGCCAGCTTCTTTCTCGATGTGGATGAATTCCTAGTCACACGAGCTCCCCTGGGCCTGGTGGGGGTTTTGTTTTTATTGTTTTTGACTCCCAATGTCAGCTGGTAATTTTAGAAATATTTCTCAAGAAGACAATTCTCTTGGCTCAGTGTTGAATAAAATTGATGTGAAGGTCCTACCGTATTGATCAACTCCGCCACCATCCACTTTGGCACAAGGTGTCACATCTAGGGAACCTCTGGGACCCACCACATGGAGACTCCCACACTGCAGTTCCTGTACGAGCAGGATGTGACGCTGAGGCCATTGAGATTTCAGAGGGGTGGGTGGTGAGCAAGGGGGTCTCAGGAGAAGCTTGGTGTCAGCGGTGTTTGGGAGAAAGAGGTGTAGACCAGGGCCCGGAGACAGAGGTGGCCTGCAGTTGGCACGGCGAACATCCCTGTAGCTCTGCCGTTAGCTCGTGGGCCTCCAGGAATAGTTTCCAGCTTCCCATTTATATATAGAGAGATTAAATTGCACTTCGCTGTTCCTCAGGAAGCTGAATTCCTTTCTATTTATTGAACTGCACATGCGGTGGACTCCGGCACCTTGACACCAGCGCCCAGGCTTCCAGAGGAGCAAAGTCCTCACTTAGGCACAGATTGGGGACAGCAGCCAGGTCGGGGGTCCTTTGGAGACGTTACCAGGGTTTCTTCTGGCACAGCCCAGGGTCACTTTCCTGGTGCCAACAGTAGATCCACACTTGCTCCTTGCTTCCCCGGGTGCCATCTTCCGGAGTGCCTCTCTGCCTGGCTGTTCTTGTCGCGGTGGAGGGACACTGCCAGTGTTTGTGGCATTCCCTCCGACTGGCAGGGCAATGTCAATTACATTCACTTAATGAAACATGATTAATACCTTCAAATGAAATAAGTTAAAATAGTCATGTTGCAAATAAGGCCTCCGAGGGTGTGACATGTGACTTCTGTTCTCCGTCAAGTAGAAGCCCTCCCCATGGGTCCTTCCCCACAGGAAGCGAGCGTTGGTTCCGTTTGAGCACCTGGAGTAGAAGTTCCCTCTGGCTCTTATGGGTCGGATTGGAATCCCCTCCATGCGTAGCACCAGGGTGTCCCTAAGTCTCTGAAGCCAGCGTCACAGCTGGACGCTCCGTTTACAGCCCATGTCCTAAGAAAGGTGACAGAGTCCATCCCAGGAAGGTGTTTCTCGGGTTACAGGGCGCAGAACAGGAAGAGTCAGCATAAATAAACGTGTGTGCTGTCGGCGCCCAGCGCCACCTCACAGCCCCTGTGACAGGGTCAGTCACCAGGGGCCCCAAAGCCTGTTGGACTCTGAGCATGAATCTGTCCGTGAACACTGGACCCCGGGTTTGAACTGGGTCCAAAATGTGATGCTTGTAAAACCCCAGCCCCCCTACTTGAAAAGTCAGCCTTGTGCGTTAGAATCAAATCCTGCAGCACAGGGAAGTGAGGGGTTCATAGGACAGTGGCCACTGCCCCGTCCAGAAGGACCCTTCAGCCACCTCCTGTACAGACCCTGTGTTGCTGACGCGGTTGCTCCACCTCGTCTTCTCCTCCCTTTGACTCTCCAGAGATGGGGAGATGGCGTGGGGGGGGGGGCAGGAGCAGACATGGGGAGCTGGGGTAAAGGTCAGCTGTCGTCACCTGGTGGGGCTGAGGTGTTTTTCTGTTCTTTTTGTTCTTGTTTGCTGTTTACACAATTGTCCCTATGGCTTTTTTTAGTTCTTAGTGATGGAACTTCCTTTAATGACTTAAAGCGGACTAATTATTCTTTTACGAAAAAAACTTGCTACATTTAATGAAAGTCTTTGTTCTAGTCAGATTTCCACGTATCATCTCATTTAATTCTTTGTGGAAACCTCTGGTTACTATTGTTGAAGGCTTTTGTTTAGAATTTAAAATAACCTGTTGTGATTATAAAAGTCTTCACTATACATCGTGGAACGTTAGAATGTGTACTTTAACAGGACTAAGAAAGCAAAAATACTGCTTTCCTGTGGCCCATCATACTAGAATGACAACCTTTCTAATTTTTTTCTCTACATATATAGTGTACTTTATTTTTTTAAAATAAGTTTCTCTAGAGTCGATAGTGCAATACTATTCTTTTTTTTTTTTAAGAGAGAGAGAGAGAGAATTTTTTATTATTATTTTTTTATTTTTTAGTTTTCGGCGGACACAACATCTTTGTATGTGGTGCTGAGGATCGAACCTGGGCCGCACGCATGCCAGGCGAGCGCGCTTCCGCTTGAGCCACATCCCCAGCCCCTATAGTGTACTTTAAATCTCAGTGATGACCTCATGCTCAAACCTCCCTGCTTCTCCCCAACTGTCATTTATGTCTGTCGATTCTGAAGTCAGATTCACTGTCTGACCACACGTCACAGCTGCTTGCCATTTCCTGTGGGCCTCTTTTAATCTAGACTGGTCCCTCGGTTTTTCCCTTCATGGTCTGTCCTGTTGTACTGCAAAATATCTTCTGTCCTGGGCTGGCCACGTTGCTTCCTTCTGAGGTTCCTTACCTTTAGCCTTCAAACTCGTGTATATTCCAGAAAACTAGAAATTGGTTTTCAAGGCTTGCTGGATGCCCGGACCCTTCTTTGGCTAGACCCTGTCATGGGGGCACTGTGTGCTTCCTGTCCCATCCATGATCTCAGATCATTCAGTGACTTTGGTGGTGACATTCTGAACCTTCCACTGTGAAGTGAACTTGTGTTCCTTCGTGAAAGTCCAGTTTCCTGAGCCACGGTCGGTCATCTCCCCGGGGGTGTGGAATGAGGTCTCATTCCTGCCATGTTATAGGTTGGCATCTTAGAGTGAATCTGTGCCTCAGCCACAGGGACACCCCACTGGAGAGGCAGGCGACGATCGCAGTTCTTGGCCTTGCCTTGGGTGACCAGTTTTTGAATAAGGAGCTGCTTTAATGGTGTCTTCAAGTAGTGACGTATTCCATTTCTGCTCGCTCTCTCTCTCTCTCTCTCCCCCTCCCCCCTCCCCTTCCCCCCCACCCTCAACTGTCATCATAGACCCGTGAATCTTCATTAACTCAGTGAACACATTAATGCACTTCAATCGTCTTCTTGCTGTTCAGGTCATCACAACTTTGGCCATAGGAGGAGAGTGAGGAGACTTCTTTTACTCTTTTGATTTAACTCACTCACTGCCTTGCTTCCCAGAGTAACTGCACAGTCCAGGCTCTTTGCTCCCCAGGACCTCTGTGTCCTGGTAATTGTGTGAAGGACAGAATCTGGTTGCTAAGGGTTGCTATGGAGAAGATGCTGTTGCAGGCAGTGGCGAGATGGCCCTGTGGTCAGTACCCTTCAAAAAATGTCGGAGTTGGTATTTTCAAGTCATTTAAACTAAGCAGTTTTTACTTCATTTCTCTTATGTTCAAATACCTCTTTTATACCAAAAATGATGCCTTGCTTTACCAAGAACCTAAAGAAAAGAATCTTACAATAACTTAAGTTGAATTTTACAGATGTGGAAAGGAAGGCTTATGGAAGAAGCAAATAAAGACCACACCTTGGAAGAGACACCTGTCTTTCTGATTCATTGGCAGTGAACTGCTGTTGTTATCTGAGCCATAAGCCACTCTGGAGTATGTTGACTGATCCTATAAAAAAATTGTAAATGTTTCATACACATGCTCGCATATGTGGGGTAGTAGGCTATGGATTCGCATTCTCTCCGTATAAAATGAAGCCTTGCTCGTCACGTGTAGCGATTGCAGCGTGTCTCCTGGTCCTTTGTCTTTGTAGGGAGGCGGGGACTGGATCACCCAGTGAGTGGCCACGAGCCCCCTGGCCCTGCAGACGTCCATGCCTTTCTTTAGTGTCCCACAGTGTGCACAGGTGGCCAGGAGTGGGTCTGCCTTTGATTCTGTCCCTCCTTCTCCCTTTGTGTGACACTCATCTCTGTTGACCTTTGCAGGTACCTGTTTGCTCTGCAGGTGAAGCAGGACCTGGCCCAAGGCAGGCTGACGTGCAATGACACCAGCGCTGCTCTCTTGATCTCACACATCGTGCAATGTAAGTTCTGTTGGCTTCCTTTGGAAGTCACGCTGGAGACCACACAGAAATCTGATTGACAGGGGACATCACATCCACACACCGACATAAACAGCAGTGAGAACGTCTTTGTGTCCTTTTTGCTCTTGGCTTGAATGCCTGGAAGAGAAAGGCCCTCCTAGCTCCATTTAGTGTTCATTAGCCAGGACTTGTGTGTCCTGGTGTTCGCCCGCCTTTCCCAGGATGCTTACGTGATTGATGTGTCAGTTGTCTCAAAGGAAAAGGTGGATAATGTGGCCAAAGACGCCAAACTTGTACTGACCTGTCCCTGAGTTTAATATCCGTCATGGAATATGGCTCTTTGGCCTTAAGATATAAAACTTTGTGGAATTCACTTCTCTCTCAAGTTGTTTCACAGAGGACACTTGGGGAGCAAGTGAATGTCATGGTCATAGACTGCCATTGCATTTTAGAGGACAACAAAAGGCAAATGACCACAAGGAAAGCTAGCTTGGGTGTGTCGACCCTGGTGCAAGAGGAAAACCTGGGGCTCAAACCTCCTTCATACCGACTCGTGGAAAATAGTGTGCCATGCGGTCACCGAGGAAGCCCAGCTGTGTAGCTTTGCATTGCTGTGACAGAATCCCTGAGAAAATCAATTAGAGGAGGAAAGATGTATAATGGCTCACAGTTTCAGAGCTTTCAATCCATAGTCGTTTGACCCCCATCTTCGTGGGCTGTGGAGAGGCAGAATATCATGGCAGGGAGCACATGACAGCAGAGTCGTCACCTCATGGCGCCTGGAAAGCAGAGAGCAAGCAGAGCCAGTGCAGGGACAGAGATAGTCCCCCAGAGTGTGCCCCCAAGAACCCACTCCCTTCAGCCAGGTCCAACTTCCTGCAGTTTCCTTTCAGCTGCAAATACCCCAATGGATTAATCCATGATGGACCCCTCCCCATCCAATTTCCACAAGCCCCGCCTCTGAACATTGGCATTGGGGACCAAGCCATCAACATGTGACCCTCTGGGGGACATTCCACATCGAAATAATAATGCCAGACTTACAGCCCATAAGCAGCTAAGAATTGAGGTGATGTCCGCATATCCAGTCTGTCCTTGTTGCCCTCAGATTCTGTGAATTGCAAGTCTGCCTACCTACTCACTAAAATCGACCCCAAACCACGACGTGTGCACTTCCCTGGTTATTTGCAGAAATACCTGGGACGGTGAACCATTCCCACCACCTGATGCGCACGTTCCCCGCCGGCTCAGCAGGGCTGAGCTCTGCCTTCACATTTCAGCTCTCGTGCTGATAACAAGTGTCCCTTCCGCGGTCTATTTAGTGCCACGCTTTTCAAGTTTTTGTGCTACTGTCAGTGATTTCATTGTTCACATGGGTCCCAAGCACAGTCCAAAGTGCCGTCTAGGGTCCCTTTGCGTAGTGTGATGTGCCTTATGGAGAAAACACATGTGTTAGATGAACTTCACTCAAGCATGAGGTCTTCTATTGGCTGTGAGTTCAGTGTGAACGAATCAGCAATGGAACAAGATGTGCTTCAACAGAAAGGCGTAAAACAGGGTCTCACTTAATGAAAACATTTTCTCAGGAGTTTTGCAGGAACCCAATCCTATATTTCACGTAAGGACAGCATTTCAGCAGCCACAAATTCAGTGTTTGTGGAGACTTTTAAATCGTGACCACCTTGAATAACAAGTGTCAACTGGACTTTCTTAAAGCCCAGATAGAAGGAATTGCAGGAAAATCAGGGCCACCATTGTCAAGGCAGCTGATGACAGTGACAGGATGCCAGGTCACCTCTCTGTGATGGAGGGCAGCACTTTTGCTCTGATTAGGGAGGGCAGTTCAAGTCCAGAGGGCAGTCAGGACACTGTTACTGGTTGTGGTAGCAGGAAACTAGTGGGAGGGTGGCCTCATCAGTGACCAGACGTTGCCAGGTGAGCCGGCACCGTTCTGTGCAGAGAAGTGTTCCCGGTGGGTGGGATTCACGGCAGCCTGCAGGCCAGTCCCTGCCTGATGACTGCAGGTACATGCCCAAAGGGTGACAGGCTGCTTCATGGAGCAAGGCGACAGGTGGGTTTTGTAGCAACCACTCACTGGCATTTTCTCAAAATAGCCGGGCTCTGGTCCTGAGGCTACTTGTTATTCAGCTTCTTGCCTAGAGAACAGGAAACTAAGAGAAGGGCAGGCTGTCCCAGGGGCCTTACAGCTAGCGCTGCTACAAGCGCACCGGTTACTTGAAGTTCCATGTTGTAAATTTGCCCATTCCGACAATTTTTAAAAATATTTATTGTTTTTAGTTGTAGTTGGACACAATACCTTTATTTTATTTATTATTATTTTTTTAATGTGGTGCCGAAGATCGAACCCAGGGCCTCGCATGTGCTAGGCAAGCGCTCTGTCGCTGAGCCAAAACCCCAGTCCCCATTCCATCAATTTTGAGGACTAAGTTGAGGTTGTATGAGACAATGAATTGTATTTGTTATGGATGAAAAATCTGTAAGGCTTTGCAATCTGACCCATTATCTCTGACAACAGGAATACAAGAAGTGTAATAAACTCTAAAAAGAAATTTTTTTGAGGAAACATTAGATTTCTACTCTTACACCCTATTTATAGTTCTCCTTACTCCCCGGGGTAAAGGATTTGAGTTTTGCACTAATAATTGTTATATATATGAGTTTCAAACGTTGATTTTGCCAAGTCCCAAAACTCCAGGGCCTGTTTAGAATCATACATGCTCTTCCACATAACAGAATTGATGGCCAAGAAGGGAAGTGACCCCCCGGTGGGGGGGAGAAGAAAGGAGAAATTACTTCCGGTGTTCTATAGAACACTGGGATACCTGTGCTTCCCAACAAGTAATTGAATATTTCAAAAAAGATGGTACAGGGAGGATTTTGAATGTTCCCAACACAAAGAAATGATGTATGTTGAGATGATAAATATGCCAGTCACCTTGATGTGATTTTGCACATAGTGTACATGGACCAAAAGGCCCACGCTGTACCCCATCAATATGTACAATTTTTGTGTCAATTAAAAAAATGTACACTAAAATAATACAAAAAGATACCAGGTACACATGGGGGTATAAGGAGGGGTAATTCTAAGTCCTCTTTCCACCTGTCAGTGGTGAGAACGAGTGTGGCTGTCTTCTTATGCTGCCACAACTGTTGACTACGCCTCGCGTCCCCGCCTCTGACGTTCATCCTGAGCTCGTCCCTCCCAGCTGCTCCCTGGTATTGTCTCTTAGCTCTGGCTTGCCAGCTGGGCGATTCAGCAGACTGTGAAGTGCTCATCCTACATGGTCTCTCTCTCTCTCTTTTTTTTTTTTCTTTCTTCCTGTTTCTTTTTAGCTGAGATTGGGGATTTTGATGAAGCATTGGACAGAGAGCACTTAGCAAAAAACAAGTACATACCTCAGCAAGATGCGCTAGAAGACAAAATCGTGGAATTTCACCACAACCACATGTGAGTCCCGTGCATGGCTTCCTATGTCCTTGGAGCTCCCTGCCTCCCAGAAAGAAGGAATTGCAGAAAAGTCAGGGCCACCATTGTCAAGGCAACCGATGACAGTGGCAGCGTGTCTCTCATGGCATGGGTGTGTGCACAAACACACAGTTTTGACGAAACACACAAATCCTGGGGAAAAGATCACAGAGGCCGAGTGCCACGCAGGTCACCCCTTAATTAAGACAGGGGCTCAAGGCCCTGGCTTGCTTTCCTGTGAGACCTGAGTAAGTCTGTGACATTTTAGGACATCCCAGGCATTGGAATAAAAGGGAGAGTGTTAGACCCAAGGACCAGCTGGTTTTCATCATGACAGGAAATTGGGAGGGGAGGTGGGGAAGTAGCACAATGTAAGAATATATAAAAATTGAGAACCCTTGTAATGTCTCCATTTTTTGTTTGTTTCTTTGTTGCTTTTTCCTTGGATTAGTCGTTCCCTGGGCTTTTTCTTATTGCACCAAAATAGGCATTTGAGCCTGGTGACAGTAGGAGACCGTGTTGCTTTGAACCATGCCTGTGAGTTGAGATTATTTGCAAGCAACTAAAAGCTTGTTTAACACCATGATCTTTTATGTGACCTTGGAGGAAACTCTTTGAGTCTCCAAAAAGCTGTCCGAGTGCGAGACAGACTTTTGGAGCTTTGTTCCCCAGGCAATAGAGCTTCTGTCCTAGCTGTGAGGCTTGGGTTCTGGCCAATGGGAGACTGGGTGTCATCTGATCGCACAGCCCCACTGTTTGCCATGAAACACCTTTTATTTCCCCCGAGAAGCTGCTTAATCTCAAGTGAATATGCCCAGGGAGTGCAGACCTCCTGACCTTCCTCTGTCCTTTTTCTTTTGTCAGTGGACAAACACCAGCAGAGTCCGATTTCCAGCTCTTGGAGGTGGCCCGTCGACTGGAGATGTACGGGATCCGGTTGCACCCGGCCAAGGACAGGGAAGGCACTAAGATCAACTTGGCCGTGGCCAACACGGGAATCCTAGTGTTTCAGGTGAGAGGGTTGAGAACACAGCTGTCTCCCTTCCAGAGAGGGGGAGGAGCGCGGGCCTGCCACCCTGGTACATGTGGGTGGCCCAGGTGCGACCTCTGACCGCTGTTTTCTAGAGAACTGGAAAAGGTATGTTTCATCTCATGTTTTTGCTCTCCAGGGACCTGATTTCTAGATTCTTTTTCATTCTCCCTTGTGCTGGTTGAGAAATCCATATTGTAGGCTTCTTTAGTTTTATTGATCTTGTAGGATTGCAGAAACCTGTCTGTCTAGAGACCTGTGCTTAGAACATAGTACACTGGAATCGCCATTTAGACCCCAGAATAAGCACTTTTTCCCATGAAGAAAGGACATTTGTTATAGTGACTTTTTTTTTTTTTAACCCAATTTGGGTTTAGGAAGCTTAATTAGGACTTCAAATATACCTAACTTAAAATGTGTAATGTGTACTTTTGAGATGGAGTAGTCTTATAAGTTCATAAAAACCATATTCTGGCACTGTAGTCATTTTGCAGGGGGAAAAGAAAAACCACTGTACTTGAAATCTTACCTGTATTTTATCTAAAGGTATAACGATTCTCTGCTCTCTAAAATGTGTGCTCTTAATCATCCAGCTATTGGACCATTGTATTGATCTGTGCTTTTCTCTTAATAGCTTCATTAAAGTGTTATTGACTTACCTGCACATATTTAAAGTGAGCAGTTTGGTAGATTCCTTCTGTATATAGGTTCAACACCACCCCTGCATGAGTGCCTTTTCTGTTACATGGAATGCTTGAGGCTGGATAACATAAAGAGATTTATTTAGCTTTTCATTTGGGAGGTTAAGAATCCAAACAGCATTGCATTGGTCCTTGGAATGGGCCCCCTTGGCCGTATCACCTCATGGTGGACGACATCACAGGGGCAGGATCGCATGTAAGAGGCAGAGATCACATCACCAGACAGGAAGCCAAAGCCGCAAGGTCTCTGGAGAACTACATTTCTCCTTCCCAAGACCATGCCCTCAGTGACCTAAGGACCTCCCATATCAGTGCTGCCCTGGGGACGAAGCCAGGGCACAGCACACCACAACAACCCTCCAGAGTTTCCATAGTACATTGGTTTGAAACACCAGCAGGTAATCTGTGTTTAGTTTTAAATGTGTATGTAGAAAGCCTCTGCCTTTCTTGTGAGTGGGCTCACATTTCACCCACTTTTGAAGTTGCAACTGTGTGCTTGACCTAAAGCCTTTCATGACCTAAAGCTCAGCTGGTTTTTACTTGCGTTCCCCTTGGTATTTTATTAAAGTTACAGCAGTTCTCTGCTAATGCATCAGAAGTTTATGACAGGTGCTAATTTTTACACCCTGGGGGAATCACATCCCAGGAAAAGCGGGGTTTCCCATCTAGTGATAAGGAGCGATAGGTTCTGAGGGCAAGGTGGCATTTGCAGAGGTAGCGGCTCCTAACAGTTTCTGACCTGCCTAAATGATCCCTGAGCATCTATTAAGAAATGTGGTTTCATTACTACTATTAAATTCCAAAATCACAGTCCTTAAACATGTCTCAAAATCATAAGAAGGGAAAGAAGAATTCCACAATTGAATTACTTGGCTTTGATAGTGTTTGATACAATCTAGATATTGAGAATCACTGGATAATTTAATTATGGACAAAGGCTGTGCCTCAGGATTAATCTTGCCAGTACCTGAATGCTTCATTCCTACCACTTGGAGTAGATGGGACGGATGTGGATGCGAGCTCAAGAGGAACCCTAATTTCGGTAGAGTCAGGGTTGGGGGGATGTTTGTATCTGGCAGCTCCCCCTTGTCTATCATATCTCACCTGACCAGAGCTACCTGGGTTGTGAGTCTCCCCCAGAGACCACATGCCGCCTGGAAGACACCCTCAGGCCTCCTGCTCCCCCAGGGGAGGAAGATTGGTGAGCAGGAACCTGGACCAGGGTGAGCAGGGTTGGTTGTACTAACAATAGCTACCAAGTGGTTTTAGGCAAATTAGAATATATTCACTTGCAGTTTCCATGTCTATAAAACAAAGATAAGTCCATCTTGCTGGGTTTTGTATGACGCTTGATAAGATAAGGTGTGCACAGCCTAGGACAGACCTGGCACTCCACAGTGACAGCTGCTAGTTATTGTGGTGGTTGTCATGGTTTTATTTTTATTTATCTTTCTATCATTACCTTGACCAGCTCCTTCTCTCCCTGGAGGCAGACCTAGTTTGAGAGCTCGTATAATCAGTAGGAAATAATGATCCTGGATGCGTATCATCCGATAGCCACACACGCCGCGAATCCACAACGAAAGGCATCTTTCCTGGGCAGTCTGACGTCAGCCCTGCCTTCGGCCCCGCGTTGCTCGTCACGCATGTCCTGGCTCATGCGCTGCTCTTTCTTCTTAGGGTTTCACCAAGATCAATGCCTTCAACTGGGCCAAGGTGCGGAAGCTGAGCTTCAAGAGGAAGCGCTTTCTGGTCAAGCTCCGTCCAGATGCGAATGTAAGTGGCTCAGAGGTGAGAGGGGGCCAGCGGAGCCATGGCCGGAGCCAGGGGTTGAGTCTGCACTCACGGGCCT